TGGATTAAACTTGGATGATGAAGGCAGACGCTTCTTTGATTTAAATTATGCACTTCATTTTGCCTCAGTGATGCCAACTATTCCTATTTTTGTCACGATTTTTATTTTCCTTTTCCCCTTCGAAGTGGTAGTATGTGCCTTTTTTCAATGGCGCCCCATAAGCCAGTGACGCCCTTTGCTTTCTGGATCGTATTCCTGTTGTTTTCGATCCTAAGCCTTTTATTTTCGTTGGCCAGGCCATCGGGCCTCCAATCAGAGGCTCTGCTCATCGCAGGGCAGCCTGGCGCCTAATAAACAAGTGCTTCAATAGGTAATCCCATGAAGCTGGCATCATATCTGATTCAGCCCCACTAGGAAGGCGCCTCGCTTAAAGGTGGTCATTTTGAGCTCGTGGCGCCGTTCGAGGGCCACTTTTCAGTCACATGTGCACGCCAACTGTATTCCAAGTCGCCATATGTTTGTTTAGACTCGATTCCGACCCTTCTGTGGGTGAAAAGGTCCCGAAACGACTGTGCAACTGTGCTGTGCATTGGCAAGGGCCATTTGCCGGCAGAATGCACAATAATGGGTCGTCGTGAAGGGTGGTCCTTGAGGATGCTTGCACAGAAGCTTGATAGCAGTCGGTATACACAATTATTCCCGCTATTGTATGCGATGTCACGTGTATTTGTGAACTCGCGCTCATGCATGCGCATGAATCCGTTGTCTCTGCAGCATCTTTCTGCCACGTGCTAATGCAGCTCTCGAGCTAACTCAGTCAGCACCCTTAAACGCTTGCCCCAGCCTAACTACATACACATATACACACGTACGCACGTATAAGAGGGCACTTCTCTGGTCTCTGGAGGGCTTTTTGGGCGATTACCGTGCCGCCGTCAGCGGTACTAACTCATCTTCTTGCAACCCTCGACCTTTCTATTTCTCTCCAGTTCCTCTCAGACTCATGCAACCGCACCCATCTGTCTCGCTTTCTTTCCCCCTATTAGCGCCGCCATTTCGCTTTACCCCGGACCCTGGTCGAGATGTAGGGACTTTTTATGCCTTCGTCGCCTGTACACCTAATTGCCACTCCTGATTTGCCTCTCCATCTCCATCTCCAGTCCAGCCGGCGTACCACCTCTTCTGCTTGTTCATATTCCGTGTCTTCCCGTATGATTGACTCTCTCTCTCTCTCTGACTTTCCTCTGTTTATCTATTCATGCCAGGTAGCTTGTATGTGTAGACGCCTCGACTCCACATCATCTGTCTATACATTCGTTTGCTACGTCTTCGTTTATTTGCCCATACTTTGGTTTATAGGCTGGTCTTGTCTGCTTGTCTCTTCTTATATGTCAACCAATCTACCCGAGTTGACGTAAAAATGCTTGGTTCTATGTCTATACACACTTATACATTCCTTTATCTGTCCACTTGTCTATTTGTCTGTCTGTCCATGCCTATCTATGTGCGTACGAATTGTTCTATCTCTATCTGTTTGTCTGTCTATATGACTACATTTACGTGATTACTCTAATTGACGAGTTTATCTGTTGACAGGTCTTTCTATTTCCCTTTGGCCGCGTCCATTTCCACCTCTATATTTCATTATTGCCATGGCTCCCCATGTTTGTAGGCCTTGGTTCAATTAGGTTCCTATGCCATCACCATGGTAGATCCCACATGACCCTGGTTTTTCGTGTGGCTCTTTTGTGCCCTTGGTACAACCCTCCTCCTGTTAGTCCGCCACTGATCTGTTGGCAATACACCATGACCAGCCGAACAAAAGCCATTGTGCAACCCCATGTCATTGTTGCTTCACTCTACTCCACTCCACTCCACTCCACTTAACTTCACTTCACTTCACTTCACTTGGCTTCATTTGTCTTTGAGTGGCCTTACACGACCTCTGGCAAGCAGAGCTGGTAATGCGGCTTTTGAACTCAAGGATCACCTGGTCGGACGTAGACACAAGGCTGGCTGGTGAGAGGATGGTTGTATGGCTGGGGCATGGCACTGTGCTGCCTGCTTGTCCGAACACCGCCAGTTCCGCAGTCAAGTCTGCCGCTAGTATGTGAATTTCAAAGCGTCAAACCAAATGCCTGCATGTGACGCCTCCTAGTCTATGTGTATTTGCTTGCTTGTGTATGTATGTGTATGTGTGTGTCCATTTGTGCATGTGAGTGTGCGTGTGCGTGTGCGTAGACTCGGATCTTAGGTGGACCGAGAGATAAAGCTGCGCTTGGACAAGGCGTAAGCAGGTGTGATGAAGCTGACCAGTGGGGCGGTTGCGGTGGCGGCAGTCGACGATTAGGGAGTTGGCGGGAGGGGAGAGGAGGGCTTATCGCTGGGGCGAAATGGTACAGTGAACACGAGACAGACGCAGGTAGGCAAGGCAGGCCAGGAGATGGGGAGAGGGGTTGGCTGTCGGCATAGCCGTCACCAGGGTCGGCAGAGGCAGCGAGGCTGACGAGGCGTGGGCTGGAGACTTGGGTTGAATTAGAATCAACGGGTTTGGTCGAGGGCTACGGCAGGTAGGTCATGCCGAGGGGGATGGGCTCTTGGCCGAGGTGGGTGGTTGGCTGGTTGGTTGGTTGGTTGGGGATGAGGCGGGGGCGGCAGTGGGAGCAGGCTACAAAGTGGGACTGCAAGGGGGCTGATGGCTTGCACACCCATTCGCGGCCGGCTACAGTCCAACGAGAGGCTGGCCAAAATCCAGGCGGTCAGAGGCCATCCGGATTGATCTGTCGATAGATCGATCGATCGATCGATTGATTGTTTGTCCCATTGGCCCATCTCGAGGGGGCAAACTATTGGACAGACTTTCGAGTAATCAATCAACTCTTCAGTCAGCCCGCCAGCCAGGCAGCCAGTCACTTAGTCAATCAGTCAATCAGTCAGTCGATCGGTTTGTTGATTGGTTGGTCGGTCGGTTGGTTGGTTGGTTGGTTGG